ACCTAAACAATTCTATGATTCTACATTTTCCTCAGGCCCACTCTACTCACACCATTATAAAGCCTAGAGAAAGAAGCCAGACGCTTAAATGCAGTGCCTGAAGTTAGGCAGTGGGAACCCTTCTATCTGCTCTGGGGATAAACACAAGCTTGGATCCTCAACACAAGCTTCTGAACTTATTATTTCGGCACACAATCTTTTAAAAGCATCTAACTTTTACGCCCTGCCCTCAAACTACACTGTGAATTTAGGCCTATGTTGCTCAGGTATCATAAAACTGAAACTAATTATTTATATATAAACTGTTATCCAGTGTTTCATGCTTTGAAAATTCTCACATTACCAGAAGACATATTTTAAAAATCTAATCAGACTTCATCATCATATTCCAGTAACAAGAAAATCAATTTGCTTCACATCAGAAATGAATAGTTTTAAAATTCTAAGACTGACTCACTTTAGAAATTACCACTTCTATTCATTTTGAATCATAACCACTATCGCTTCCACCAGTGTATTCAGCTTTCCGCAAGAGGAAACTGACTGATACCCCTGGATGTGTATGAGAGGTGCTTATCTCAAAGACCCCCCTTCACTTCCTCTGGGTAATTCATTGGGTATTCTCTTTTTCCCAGATTAATTGGAAGCATTAAAATTCCTGAGGGTGGGATGACGAGCAAAAAGTTTCAAGTCCATTTGACTTAGCTTAAATAAGACACCATTAAGGGGATTTCCAAAACTGTTCTATAGACTATATGGGAGAGAGTTCAACAAAAGAGGACCTGTGGCACCTAAGTGAATTTAGTGTTAATAATTTTATTTTTAAATATACAAATCTAATTGTGCCTACCAAGTACTATTTTTATTTTAGATAAAATATTGTTGTAGGTTTCAGTAGGAACCAGAATCAGGAATTTAAGATTTAATCTTACAATCTCCAAATTTACTGGAGGGGCGGATGAACAACATGCCCCAATCATAGCTATCTCCCAGATCACTTATAGTCCCATCTTGTATAAAACAGCACTTGGAAAAAAATAAATCTTAAAAAACATTACTGCTGTCTGACTGCTATTTATACAGCTGTTTACCAGCAGTATTACTTGGGGAAATTTAAATAGTCCACTTAGCTTTATATATTTATTCAAACATGCTTCCATTTTCCATGTCACAAGTAGAGCTTTCTAAGCCTAGAAGTGATTTGAAAAAAATAAAAACAATAAAAACCCCTCTTCCTGGAAAATGTTTAAATGAAGTCTTCACCTGATTCACCTTCAGCTGATTCCGACAGCTTGTTTTCCTCCTTCTCCCTTTACTATTGCATTTTGAATTCATTTATAGTTGACATATTGTGTGTTTCCCATTTTGTTCAACTTGTACTCTTTGAATTATTTTACTGATATCAAAATAATTACTCAAATATTCCTAGAGTACATCTGCTTGAAACAAGTACTTCTATTTATCAATAAAGGGCTACCAATGTAGGTATAACATATCTGAATAACAAGGAATAACGTATCTGAATAGAACCTTTACAAGAGCAAGAAAACATCAATCTTAAAAAGACAATCCATAATTTTGCCAAACATACTTATCAGATTTCCTTTTGCATCTCTGAGAGGAGCACCACCACCACCTTTTCCCCAGGGGTTGTAATTCCTCATTTCTGCTTCTAACTTGGCTTCATAGCGTTCCTTCTCCTCTCTCTCTCGTCTCCGTCGTTCCTCTCTCTCTCTAATCTAAAGCCAAACAAACCAAAGTCAGCTGCATGAAAATATCACCTTAAGTATAATTTTAATAAAAAGTTAACGGAGCAAGCTGAATGCTATCATTACCCATTCCCCCATCTATATCAAGCAAATTGCTAATGTTTCACTGCCTATACTGCAGACGATGCATTGAATACCGCTGTCAAAATGTGCACATACATTTATATGCACTCTGTGCATAATCACAGAGAAATATATAGATACACACTATAAGACTTCCAAGTTCCAGACGTGTTCACATCAGACATTTGCAATAGATCAAAAGTTCTATACGCCTGGATCCTGTGCTACAGAAATTTATACTGCCTAGAAATTAAACAGGCAAAATTCTACATTATAGCACTTGCTTCTCTCAACCTGGTACATTTTGTTTAACCAAAACTTAAGACTAGAGATGACAGGAGATAAAGATTCTTAACAATAAATGCCTTAGTGGAATGCTACACAATTCTATAATCATTCAAGAAATAGTTTTCTGCAGTACCTGCTCATATGGTTTGTTCTTCCTTCTTCAAAATCAGGCTAAACTTATATAACTAAGTCTCCTAATAATTTAATGTAGCATTTATAAAGAGAATAGCTGTTTAAAAAAGTCCAACTTTCAAAGCTTTTAAAACATTAGTTACTATTTACGTAGCTGAAATATACTAATGTATTTTTCTTAAGTTTATTTCTTCTGTGCATTAAGATAGACATTTCCCTTTATCACGTAGTCAGACAATTTCATAAGAGATATAATGAGTCAACATAAAGACCCATCCAGCCCTGTCAACTGTTTACAAAAATGGTCAATCAGGTTTGTCTGTACAGAAGAAAACCAGAATACATTCTGTTTGCTTTCAACCATAAGCAGCATAACTTTGAAAGACTGTACCATGCCATGCTTATTAGACCTTGATGTCAAATTGTGCAGTCTCTCATATGGCAAGATAAAATTTACTTCTTAAGACTACAGTGAGAAAATGCCTTCAGAGAAGCATAATGAGAACAAGAATATTTTTATAGCAATTATTTACCTCCACTGAAGAAATACATAAAAAAGAATAAGATAAGAAAACGTTTGTGCCACTGAACTGGGTTCTAGCAAAATCTCTTCTGAAATAACATGTCTTATCATGGTCTAATACATTTTATAAATAAAAACTCCCATAAGGTGCAGCAGTTAAATGCAGGCCACTAAAATGAGTAAGGGACTAGGACATCTGCTGGAAGACAGGAGACAAGAAATTTGTCTAGTCTAGCAAAAAGGAAGCTGAAAAGAGATAAGACACCACCTACACAGCAAAACAACTCATTGCTTTTGTTCTGCAATATATAACTTTTGCAAAATATTATAAATTAGGGAAGTAATTATATAAAACTCCATGCCTGGAACTAATCAGTTTCCTGTCAGTCTTAGCATTCACTCTGCCTCTGACAAAAAAATTGAAGAGCTTGCTGTCCACCTGAAGTGCTAAAACGAGCTCAACCAGGGTCAGAGGAATAGGAAGAAGGAAGTGATGAAGGGAGGGAGAGTTAAGATAGCTTTTTACTTGTAAACTAGATATGTTTGAAAGAGTACTACAGTTACAACCATTATATGTTAAAAAGTAAAAGAAGAAACCATCAGAAGCTTTATCACTCAGTACCTGCTGCTGTAATTCTTGTTGATAAGATAATGTTGCCTCTTTGGAAGGCTTTGTTTTTTCTTCAGAAAATACTCCTGTGCTTCTTTGTCTGTCTCCTGTATTCCTCTGTCCAGTGTTACCTCTGAATTAGAAAAATCACACACATAAAAGGTAAACATCATTGGGTCCAGAGGGGGGGGGAATTAAAAAAAAAAAGAATTTAAAAAATCCCTGCCTGAAATATTTAAGAGCTGTTGTATTCCACAGCTTGGCAGTTTATAATCTCATTTTCATAAATCGCTATAAAAATAGGACTTCATTGAATTATTGTTTAGATAGAAATTCTTAATTAGAAGTTTGAAAAGCTGTCTTTAACTCACTTCAATTCAAAGGCATACCGATTGTCAGCAAAACACTCCCAACATGAAAAGCTTATCAATACAGATAAATACAAAGAATATGAATATAGACAATACTTACACAGATTGCTCTACTGGGGCTTGGCCTAAAGGAGGATCCAGATTAGGTGTGGCTTGCATTCCCATCATACCTGCACCATCTACATAGTAAAAACAAACAAACCTACTATTTTAAATTCTGAGTGCTCAAAAATAAACGTTTGCCATTACTTAAAAGAAGAGAGGCTTGCTGCTCAAACTCTGTCACTGCAGAATTACATATGGGACTCTCAAATTCTGTAACAAACTTAGCTAATCCTTAATGCCCCCTAAAGCAAGAAAATGCCAAGGTACAAATCTATTGCTTAAATTTAACTAAATCTCTTCAAAATTTACAAATGTCTTCATGAACATATTCTACAATGAATTAACAAAAAGAAATAACTTTGCTTAATGTAACGCTTGTCCTCACGCTTTCCAAATTGTCCTCTGCTGTGAGAACCCCACTGCCTCCTACAGAACTACAGTACATTTGGCATTAGTACTCAAAATAGGAACTACAGCGCTCTGCCACAGCAGGACTTGAAATTACTGTGTGTACTACTGTTTACGTTCGAGACCACGAGAGACACATCTCTAAAACAGTTTCACACTTTCAAATTTTAACCACTAGCAGTATTCCAATTTGTGACAAGAAGCTTTAAGACAACCTAACTCTCATATGTGAATTTTAAGTATTAGTTTCTTTAGTACTCTAAACTGTAAGCCATTTTACCCTAGAGGTTATATTGATAGAAAGGTAAAAAACAAAACAAAACAAACAAATAACTAAAAACTAAAATAAAACACACAAAAAACCCCAACACACACCAAACAAACCTCAAAACAACCAAAACTTCTGTGAGTTAAAACTGAGGTCTGAAAATAAGATTACACGGAAAAGCAGATTGGAACTTAAAAAACAACAAAAAATCCCCACCAACTTTCTCAAACCATAGCCTACTACAATTCAAGATAGGGAGAAACTTACACTGGGGAAAAAAAAAACAACTAAAAACTTTTGCTCTTAAATCTCTAGCATTCCTGAAATTGCCTGGTGGAAACAAATCTCATTCAAATCAACCAGGAAGAGAATTGTTACTGTAAGTTTTTTTTTCCTCCTCTATTTTAACTTGGACCCCACCTGGAGTACCGAGTCCAGCTCTGGGGCCCCCAACATAAGAAGGACATGGACCTGTTGGAGTGGGTCCAGAGGAGGGCCACAAAGATGACCAGAGGGCTGGAGCCCCTCTGCTATGAGGACAGGCTGAGAGAGTTGGAGCGACTCAGCCTGGAGAAGAGAAGGCTCTGGGAAGAACTTACTGCAGCCTTCCAGTACTTAAAGGGGACCTACAGGAAAGATGGGGAGGGAGACTTTATCAGGGAGCGTAGCGATAGGACAAGGGGTAATGGTTTTAAACTGAAAGAGGATAGATTTAGATTAGATATCAGGAAGATATTCTCCACCCTGAGGGTGGTGAGGCACTGGAACAGGTTGCCCAGTGGAGTTGGAGATGCCACGTCCCTGGAAGTGTTCAAGGCCAGGCTGGATGGGGCTTTGAGCAACCTGGTCTAGTGGGAGGTGTCCCTCCCCATGGCAGGGGGGGCGGAACTAGACGATCTTTAAAGTCCCTTCCAACTTTAACCACTCTATGATTCTATAACTTTTCTATGAAGGTAGCACAACTTTTTAAAAGTATTTCTGTTTTTTTCTCTAACAGACAAAAAAAAAAACCAAGAAAAAAAAACCAAACACCATGCTATGCAGTCCCTCCCCATACACATCACCGTTGTTTCACTTATGAAATCATCATGAAACAGTCAAAGATAAAAAAAGGAGTTTTTAAAATGAAAGTTTGATTACTTTATACAGTTCCTTTAAAATATTTAAAATTATATCTGAAATTGTAACAACACCTAAACATGTAGTCAATTATAATATGATTTAAGCAATTTAAGAAAATAATGTTTTATCAAAACTATGAAGAAAATTATCTGGGAGGAGTAATGGCGAAGTAGCTGACACTAGAGTTGTTCAAGCGATGAACTAAATTTCTGGAAGCCACAGCCCCTTTTGCAGTTGGAGAAAACGACTTCATTCAAAACTAGTATTGAAAAAAGATATGTGTTGAATGAAAAGTAGGCTAAGAAATGGGTTTAAATTGCTGTCACTAGTTCTACATTATTCATCATTTAACTAGATTAAAAGCAGTCATCTGAATCACTCTATAACAACAAATCCACCTAAAATCATCAACTTACAATATGCAAGACTGGGATCCAAAGGATTCCTAACCCCATAAAAGTAATATGCATCATCGTAAGGTGTTCTATAGTTGTCTGTCAAAACTGGTGGTGGAGGCGGTGGCATCGGTGCAAGCCTTAAAGGAAAAAGGAACACAATTTTTTGTTCTGTTGTACAACTGAAAAGAGAGATCATTAAAAGAAGAAAGAAAGGAAAAAAAAGAGAGAATTCACTATAGGAAAACTCAAGATTTAGCTCAGCCTATTAGTGCCATGCAGGAACAAGATACAATAAGCCTCAGTAGGAAATTAACTTTCCCTTAGGGAGTAGTACATGAACCCAGACTATTCCAGAGATCTAAAGAACGTAAAACAAACATGCCTTCTTTAATGGGTTCAGTTAATGATACTTACTGGTTACATCAGTAACAGTAAATAAAACGAGCCAAGGATTAGTCTCTGGTCAAAGGGCAAGTGGCACAACACAGCTTCAGCCACATACCTAAAGCTCCTTCTGTCTCCCAAAGAGTTCAGTCTCAACCACAGTGTCTGGCGGAAGTTGTCCTTGCCTACACCGCATTCCTGAGCTTAGCCCGGGGACATCACTTAATTGACAGGGACCAAACTCATGCCATACCAGCCTTCTAACACCACAGACACTGCTGGGCACAGACACCCAAGCGCCCTCCCGATGTGGTTCATTATTACAGCTATGGACACCATTTCTACAGCACGACTCTCATCCTACACAAACATCCACTAAGAAGTAATAACACACTTAGCACCAAGCTTATTTAACATGCAAAATGAACATGACGGTGAAGCACCTGGGTGCTGCTATTTCACCAAGAGTGCTGGCTAGCCCCCTGTGAAAGTCTTCATTCACTGGAGAGGCTGAAGGGACAGGCACTGGAGTTTGGAAAGCCACCCTAGGCCTTTCAGGAGGTACTCTCTCTTCAGAAGCTCTCACTGTCATGCCAAACTGCTTCAATCTATTTGGCTGAAGGGGGGGGGGAAATAGAAAAAGAGGAAAAAAAGCAGTTACTTTGTTATTACTAGGAAACATCCTGAATCTCTATTTAGGCTGTGTTAAACACTTCACTGGGTCCCAACTAGCTGTTCAAATTTCTAGTAATTGCATTTTTTTTCTCCTGAGGAATTACTGGAAATCTAATATTAGAAGGAAATCCAGCGTGTTTATCAGATTTACAAAATCCAGCCTCTATGGCAGGTTTCAGGAAGTATATGGTTCTAGTTGTTATCCAGAATTAAAAAAAATAAATGTATTCACACAGTTGTCTGTAGTACAGGTTATCTACAGCCACCAGTTTCTTACACTGACAGTATTATCATATTATGCATAGGAAAAGTTTCTAAAATACAATCCCCCACCCCAAAAACCAAAATAGCTCATAATTAGTAAAAATAAAAAACAAATACACACTGAGACTTTTTCCAATAAACATTTCCTTGCAATACTTCTGTTTCATTTTTTGGGTTCCTTTGATTTTATTAGCTTTTGCAACCACAACAATTACAAATTTATTTTTTTTTAAAGCATCAAATGTTTATTGATAACTGGCAGCCTCAGAAAAAAGTCAAAGGCAACATGCAAGTAAGGCAAAGGCATGCAAGTCAGTTAGTTTCAGAACTATCCTATCACACCCAGAAAGCCCTTATACCAGCTGCTATGCATAAATATTTTAATATTTGTTTAAATGAGTCAATATAATAGGAGACCAGAAAAAATTCATATATTGTGTAAGTAAAACGGGTTTTATTTCTGAATTTACTGGTCCTAAGATTGTAGTGCTTCAATTAACATGCATTCAGAGAAAGTAATACCAGCAACCAGCTAAATATTAAATATCTAACAGCAAATCATATATCCTACAATATGGAAGTATTTCAGCAAAATATTAAATCTTTACCTCCTCATCACTTAGCTGCAAGACAGTATGTACAAGGCAGTTAGTACTCACCAATCATGAACTACAGCGTTAAGATTCTCAAAATCTACTAGACATGAATATTTGTTTATAAAATTTAACTTCAAATTTCTAGATGTGAATACACAATTAGATAATAGATATGAGCTACAGCAATTGAAAATTATAAAGCAGTCTACACACTTTTTTTTAACTTGTCTTTTCAAATCCAGCGTCTTGAGCAGGAGAACATTTAAAACAGCCTTTCTCACTAAAAAGTTTTATGTGAACTGTTCCCAAAGTGCCCCAGATTTCAGGTCTGCAGCTAATTTCAGATGTGACTATGGTAGTCAGTTCATCCTGGGGATTGTTTTCCTTTAAACAAGCAGTACATACAATGGTCTACATTTATAGATTCTTAATCAGGCATTGCTATTTAACCAACCTGTAATTAATCAAGAAATCTACCTAATTAGAATCCTTCCCTGAGAGGCAATTTAAAGCTAACAGTGACTGCTGCTTAATGAATGTAGCAATTCTACTTAATTGAAGGCTTTCAGCTAAATTAATGGTTTTAAAACATTATACATGCCCTGGACTTGCTCTGGATATAATTTTGTTCCTACAACAGGCACTTTTCAGCCTCCAACTGAGATGCGTACGGTATATAGAGTGCTTCAGCACAGCATGTTTCTGCCTAGTCAGCTTTGATTAGACAAAACTGTTTACACTGACCTTACAGCCTGCTGTGCCAAAAGAGTCAGCATCCTCTGCTCAGTTTTTCCTCTTTTCCTGCCTGGCTCCCAGCTGTACGTTCCATCCCTCTCCCTTTCGCCATCTGAATCCCTGATTAGCCAACTGACCTCTCTAAGACAACTAAAACAGCAAAAAAGATTCGGGTTTTTGCCAGCTAACCAAGCTGAATCAGTTCGCAAAGGGCATCAAACAAGCACCACAGATACTATAAGCAGAGAGGGCAGGAACATGCAGCCAGGCCACTAGTTAGTGTTCTCCCTCCCCATTTAGGAGTAAGAATTTTGATTCAGCTTCATTGCTTATCTGCGTGCATTCTCAGCCTCCTGCCTCACATGCTGACTAAAAGCATCTCTCAGCTATTCACTCATCTTCATTTTCTAGAAAATAAGAGCTCCCTCCACCTCTGCTGAACTGTCCAGAAATGGCACAAGTTTCTTTCTGTGTTGTAGTCTCCCTCAAAGAACCATTGATAATTTAAACTGGTTAACAGTTTAAATTAATAACCAGTTTATTCTTCCTTGAGAAAGTTACCCACCCTATGTCTCCAACAGCAGATCTCTCCTCCACCCAACATGCAATGGCTTTGGGCACTTCACAAACACACGTGCAAATCATACTAGTTACGTGACAATCAGTCCGCTACTAATGTTACCAGTGTTGACAATCTCCTCTTTCATACATGCTAACCAAAAGTCTTACTACAATAATTACCTTACTAAGAAAGTGGAGACAGTAGTAATTCTGCATTAAGTCTTATAAGTAACACAATATTAAACATCTTGCTTTTTATAAAATCCTATGAAAATACTACATTTGATAGTTTAAAAAAGAATTACAAATTTGAAATAAAAAATGGTTCCAATGAGATCAACTCAGCTGCAAAACAACTGGAATTTTTTTTTTAAGTGAAAAAAGAGCAAAAAACTTTATGCAGCATACTTTCCATTCCCAAAGAAAGGTTACTAATGTGTGCATGTACAGGCACTGGACACTAAGTATTTTTTCCGTGATATCCACTGCTTCTATAAAATTTCCACTTGATCACAGCAAAAGAAAATGTTCGATAACTTCCGTGAAAATATTTTCCTCTTAAGCTGAAAGCATGTGTAAGCCTTATCATTCTTGGCTTCAATTTTATTCTATGCTAATGTCCTATTAGAAAAAAACACAACATTTATCAATCTATAAAAGCCCTACAGAATTTTGTGACTGAGAAACCACAGTGTACACATCATTAAAAAAAAAAAATCTGTATAGGTGAAAGAAAATCCAAGCGCTTTACCGTCTTTTCTGGGTCTTGAGCTCCAGAAGCAGCAACTGAGAGCTCAAGTTCCTTCTCACTGTTTTTGTTTGAAAAAAGAAAAAAATTATCAAATCAGAAAGCTGTAACAAATATACTCGTTCTTTCAAAGCATGAACCTCACAACTCTGTAGTTAAAATAACTCTGAAAATACAGGATAACAGAAGACATGATTCCACTTGATTTCTTCTGGAGTCAAGGAAGACGTATACAGTATATTATTTGTAAATAAACAGAACTTTCTAGCAGTATCTGGCTATCATCTATTCCATGTAATAAAAAAAAATCAACTACCATAAAAGGACAAACTACCACATTGCTTTTTAGTACAACCTTTCAGGACATATCTTAAAAATGAATCTTAATTCACATTACAGCAAGAAGTTTATAATAAACATATTGAAACGAATGATTCAGGAGTATAGCAATAAGTACTATATGCTGTAATTTCAGGGCTTAGGCTTGTTCACCATGTACAATTTTTCATCACAGTGAAACTGACAATAGTAACTTATTTTTAATTCCTTATTCCTTCACTAGTATCACTGTGTGTTTTTATGTATCCATACTATCATTCATCAGGTAGCTACTAAAAGGTAAGCAAGAAATTTATATTTTACTACACATCTGCATAAGCCAGATGGTCAAGCACTTTGAAAGTAAAAGGTTACTTTCCTAAATTGGAGGACAAAACACGATTCATTTTCAACTTTGCGAAGTAATTAGACATTCCTCTACCAGCAAAAAAGGCAACTTCAGTTAGAGCTTCTTTACCCTTAAGAAACTAAAAATAATTTTTTAAAAATGAAAAAAAAATCTGTTTTTTTCCTTTGTTCCATTGAAAGCTAGCGAATTTGTTTATTAAAAACTAAATCTCTCATACCAATGAGTTTAATTAGATGCAGCATTACCCAGCTAGCTGGAACTCCTTAGTTATGAAAATTATTCTTACCACATTGAATTAATGAAATTCCTTTAAATTTCAGCCATTATCTTTTAAAAATATAGTAACTTTCCATTACCGTCTCTTATTTCGCTGTTGCTCAGCCATCTGTTCTATTAGTTCTTGCCTGTATTTCTCTTTTTTCCTTTGGAGAAGTTCCTGGTCCTGACCACCTAATGGAAATAGTCACACATTTGCATAAATGCTCCACAAAATACCTAAGAGGTACTGGACAAAAACATTGCATTTCAGTCAATTTAAAACACGGAGCACAGCAGAGTATAGAATCATAGAATGGTTTAGCTTGGAAAGGACCTTAAAGATCATCGAGTTCCACCCCCCCTGCCATAGCCAGGGACCCCTCCCACTAGACCAGGTTGCCCAAGGCCACGTCCAGCCTGGCCTTGAACACCTCCAGGGATGGGGCCTCAACAACCTCTCTGGGCAACCTGTTCCAGTGCCTGACCACCCTTAAAGTGAAAAATTTCTTCCTAATGTTTAATCTAAACCTGCCCTCTTCCAGTTTATATCCATTCCCCCTCGTCCTGTCACTACATGCCCTAGTAAAAAGTCCTTCCCCATCTATATGATCTGGGAATGTGCATAAGATCACTGGATCTTTAGTAAGAAAAAAACCCAAGGTATATCTAGTTGTAATATGCAGTTTGTTTGGAGTGTGATGATCAAAACCACTAAAATTTTCATTATTATTTTCCTAGTTTGCCTGGTTTTGTACAGTCAGGAAGCTACACATTTCGGAGCTATGTGATACAACAGCAACTAAAAAATGTTACTTAAATTTTATACTTGTTTTCCCTAATGCTCAACTAAGGAAGATACGCTATAGCATTCCAAAATCATGATGCATTGCTCTGGATAAAAATGAGTTAAAACTGAAGAGAGTAAAACCCACAGGGAGGAAAGCAAATTGCTCCACTTTTAGGATGGTTCCTGTAACTATTAAGAATTAGCAAAGCATTGGCAGATACTTATATGTAAAAGGAAACAGTGATAACATCTCATGTGGATTTTTAGGAACTCAAAAAAAATTTTCACTTGTGGTAGTTCCCCCACAATAATCATGGAATCTTCTATTATTTTAAAAAACAAAACAAAAAAAACACCAACATCACCACCACTTTATTCTATAAAGTACGACTATCAGACACAAGGACTTCCAACATATTTCCATACACAAAGTCACCATGGATCTTCAGTGAAGTAGACCTGAACAATAAAGTGAAGAAATCTGCAGAGAAACTAAAACAAAAACCTAAACAAACAAAAAAAAACCCGCCCCCCACAAAAAACCCACACAACCAACAAAATACAAGAAAAAACCCACGATGCATGACTGACTGCATTTTTTATTCAATTAATGTGCTGTGACTGTAAAGTGACCAAAATGTGCAAGATAAGGTTATGGTTTGTGATTTTTGGGGAGTCTGAAATCCAAAAGTTTCAAGTTTTAATTTACCTAATCTTTATACAACATCGTTAGCAATATTCTCCTAACCAGGACTGCTAGGAATACGAATTCACAACTTCTGTACTCAAGATACTACACGAGATGACTGAGCAGATCAGAGAGACTGATCACTACAAACGCACTGTTTTAATGCTGCCTTTAAACGGTTCCAAAAAATTGACCTGCCACGTATTGCACTGAAGATCAGATAAGTTCCAATGTAAAAATAAATGGAAATTATTCTGACAACTGTTAGTCAATTTTTCCATAATTCAAACCTAGCCCATCTTCAAAGGCTCCGATCTGTAGAACTGCTACAGTTCTTGTATTCTTGCCTTATAATATTCTGAATTTAGCTAGGAATGCTATGTTTTCAACAGTACTTCTCCTTACTATGCTTAATAATAATGTTCCCTGTTAAATTTTATGGCTACATTTAAGCAGTAAGAGATGATCAGAATCATTTGTTCTTGCACAAGGTTGTGAACAGTACCATTTCCCATATTTCTGCAATGAAAATTCAATAACGTCATGTCTTTAACAATACAGAGGTTACTATTTCTCCTATACTTCATTTCGTAAAAAAACTTAAGAATGTATCTGGGCCTTAAACTGTTAATGAAATCTAAGAAGAAACTTGGGCTCTTCAAAATTAATTACAAAGCCCTGTTACGTTAAGGGGGGAAATGAACATGTTTTTCTTTTTTATTTTCTCCCTGTAAATAATATTTATTTACCACTCTTGGGGACAACAGCACAAAGAAAAAGCTAATTTTTCTAGTTTTTAATTATATCCAAAGGAAAATAAAATATGCAAAGAAAGGCTAAGTCAGTGTCATTAGTTAGGTTTTTATACATACCAAGAACAAGGCCTGTTGCATACGGCATTTCAGGTGCAGACTTGGATGGTTCATTAGCTGAAGAACTAATTTGTACCTGATTTCTGGCAAAGACAAAAAAGAAAATGGAAAGATCAAACTCAAGAATTTACTTGTAGTCTGTGTGAAACATGATAGATGCACTTACATCACTATGGGATACATTAATGACAAACAGCTTTCCTAAAATCCAAATAAATATCGCAAGCAAAGGAAGAAACTGCCTGGCAAAAAGGCGTTTCTCTCAGTTTTCATTTGCCTGCGGTTTCTGTAGCCATCAGGAAACACTGACTCACTTGAGGACTTCAACAATGTTAACAGACTGAGTGGTGTCAAGAGTTTACGTAAGGGCTTTACAAGTGTTCTGCTTCTGCCTCATCCACTTAGACCACTTCAGGACTTGCAAAACCAAGACAAGAAGAAAAAAATGAATTTTAAAACTATTATCAAAAAAGGATTCCACGTTATTCTAATCATTAAAAGTCTTCAGTTGGAAAATAGGTGATCTATTGTTTCAAAAAGAAAACTGGCATGCAAGCTTCAATAGCTGTTCTCAAAGGAAACATATTTTTCTTGTTCTACTATATCCTATCAGCCATTTCAGACAATATATTAAGGATTTTAAATAAACATTTTCCTTTCACCATGATTTTGTAGTGCAATTATCAGAAAAATACATTGTATACCACACCTAGAATTTCCAGTTCTTGAGATCTGCTGCACACGTGCTCTTTCCTTTAATTCATCTTCATAATCTGCAGGTAGATCTCTTACTATTCCATCCAGATAGGGCCTTAAAGAAATAGAAAATATTCAACTATGCTTGCCTAAAAACATCCAATCTGAAACGGAAACTCCAGCAGTTTCATGCAAATGGATCCTGAGTCTGACTACACACTGGACAGCAGAAGCAGTTCTGAAAATATCACACAAAATTTCTAGAAATAATCCACTTTGCTAGCATTGTCAAGGCAGTGCTGTGTCTGGAGTCCGAACTCCCAAGCCTGCTTTCACACAACCTTTATCTGTTGAGCCTGGTTAAGAGTTTTGAGAGCTGAAAAGCATTCAGCATTCAGACTGCATTAATTGAAACAGATCTTGCTACTCTTAATACCCAGGAGCCAACAAAGTCTACAGCAGACTTCAGCACACAGCTATTTGGCAAGTCTAGTGAAAGAGTTAATTCAGATATTAAAAGCTTCTTTAATGACAACCTACACTTCACTATGCACCTGATACCATTTAAAAGAGAGAGGTTACTTTTAATCAAGATAAAAGACAGGTAACATGGCATATACAAAAATTCAGGAGCTAAAATTTGAATAATCTACATATGAAGTGAAGTAATACAATTGAAACTTCAAATAATTCCAAAAATGCCAAAAATTGTATGGACACAAGGGAGCTTTTCCTGAAAAGATCTGGGGTAGTTTAATTTACAGGCTTTTCTTGCCTTGCAAGTTAACCACTCTTTAATGAGGACTTGACTTTATCTTGATAAAATAAGGCAAGAATAGGTGTCCAATGAAAAATAAAGTACCCAATAGATGCTAACAAAGTTATGCATTTTCCAAAGCTGGACAGAGCCATGGACTAACTATTTAGCAAACAAAAAAATAAAATACTAGGTAATCATAGGAAAAAATCTCATCTTATTCTTTTATGTAAAAAGATCCACAGCTCTGCTCATCTTTGTAATTTAAATAAAAGCCAATAATCAAAGGCAAAAGGATGCAAGCAGATTATTAAACATTGATTTGGCATCTTAACAACCCACAAGAGCAACATGAAAGAACAACATCCATCCTCTTGGCATAACATGATCTTCTTTCATGATCGAGATCATCTTTTTGATAATGATCAATCTGCTACTTAGAAGGCTGGTCACGTAAGACTGAAACACAGTCAGGAAATAGAAAGCCTAGTCCATAGCATGATGAAAGAATGCAGGGAGGAAGCAAAGAAACAAACCTTGGGATTCAAGAGGCAACATTTTTTGTAAAAAGCAGCAAGCTTAGCATGGCAGGCCCAGACACATTGGCCCAATTCAATCAAGAAGCTGTTTTATCCTGTTTATAGGACAGACCTGGCTGTTGGGGATGGACTAAAGCATGCCACTCCTAAGAACCAAAACATTTTGCTACTTATCTCTTCCCTGTCACCATTTTTATTTGCTGAAATATGCCACAGTCCTCTCTTTGAAAAGGGGTAGAGGGGAGCATTTGTTGGTCCCATCTGGGGTCCCCCATGTCCCCAGCAGCCGATTTGGCCTAAACCACGACACTCTTGTCAAAGAGAAACCTTTCTGAAAAGTCCCATTACAAACACGTGCCCCTCCAAACTGATAAAGCCCATTTAAAAACATAAAAACTTTTATACAGCAAATAAAAATACTCCTCCTTATGAATTTAGTTTCTGTCATGAATCAAATGTGTTCTGGAAAGTTGACTTTGCCAAAAATGTAGAAAAAAATGCTAACTCTTCAGAAGTTGATTTGTCAGTAACTAATAGATGTGTTCCTCCTTGAAGAGACACTGAATGTAGTTCATAAAAGCAGAGCTCCTTGCAAAGGGAAAACAAAAAAAAGATTACAAAGCACATTTAGTAAAAAAAAAAAAAAAAGTAATTTTCAATTAAAATTCAGGAAAGTAGAAAATACACACCAAACCTTAATTTTATGTACAAATTTAAGTTCAGGCAATTCAGGTGATGGTCCAGCAACTTCTTTTAAGAAGATTCACCAAGCTTCCCCGTAACAAAGATAAGACTATCCTCTATACTTGCTTTTAACAGAAAACAGGGACTAAAACTGTTTCAGAGGCTTCTCCAAATAAGCAATGAATTGCCTAGTGATATATTGGTCATGGACATTTTCATAAGCACTATCAGTGTTGTCTGGAATAACTAAGAACTAGTATATTTCTATTTAACATGACACTGTCTACTGTTGGTTCAAACACCATCCTTGCTAATATTTTACATACATAAATCTGTATGTATTCTTCAAGAAAAAAGTAAACCCTCAAACTTTATCAAATGGTCATTTTTATTTAAATATTAGACCGTGTGCAATTGCATTAGACAGTGCCAAACAGCTACCTAGTAAAAAGAGAACGTTATTCTTCTGGGTGTTAATTAACATAGAGGATTAACTTTGCTGTTAGTCTCAAAAATACGGACATTTTGGTTATCTTTGCTAGACACCAAGTCAAGCTTCTAATATTTTTCTGTTGTAGGACAAGAAGACCCTACCCTAACACCTCCTTTGCTCATTTCTACCAATATAACACTACAGGATGGAACAATTTTCGTATTTTACATTCTCTTCTCTGAATCTCATTCAGAAAAAAAACAGGCAATCTTGTTCCTGCTATCTATTTAACCACTGTTTCCATTTGCTAGTCTTTTTCAGAAACACTGTATGAATAAATACATGCTTTTAGAAGCACATCAGAACATACAATCTGAAACTCTGAAATAACCCATTTATTTAGCCTGCATCTCCCAAATGCTTCCAGACATTTCATTTTCTCCATAGTTACTTAATTCCTTTATGTTTTTTTTAAAAAAGACTGAGAAAGAATACCAAAAGCTATTTTTGTAGATAAGTTATTTTAACTCAATTGGTATTTGAAACTTGAAAAGAAGCACGACTTCATTCAATTTAGAAAATGCTTTTGCAGTAGAAGAGCATTTTAGGGTTTGTTTTTCCCAGATACTAATTTATAGTGCTACCAGTGAATTAGCCCTGTAAACACTGACTCAAAAGATCATTTAACCAGTCCACAAGCAATTAACAACAAAACATGATTGTAACATTTAACAGTGTTGAGTGGTACAATTTGCCTTTTGTTTTTTTCTAGAATAAAAGAGTTTTTTTTTTTTCTAGAATAAAAAAAGAGATTATTTTGCCTAACAAGGGAAAGACAGTGGCGTTTCCTTCACTGAACCAACTGCAGTAAAATAATTCTGGCAACAGCCTTAACACAAAGGCAATTAAAAAAAAAAAAGCATCTACAACACTCATGTTCCCACGATCTGTAAAGGGAACAAATGAACACTCTTGAAGCACCGTTTTAAAATTTATTTACAAGAAACTTTGCCTATTTCTGCTGCTTTATTTCATTTGAATTTAGGTTTATAAATCACATCTCTTTCAAGTTTGGTAGTATTTCACACCACAATCTATCTGTTTTTGCAAGCAACCAGTTCTTGCAATGGAATAACCAAAGGTGGCCAGACTGCCAAACTGTGAGTGATTGGGCAGGTAATGCTTTTTTTTTTTCTTCTTCTTTTAAATGAGTAAGCTAGAAGAGAAAAATTAACAATTTACGTCAAAGTAACCAAACTGTTTTATCAGTTAACATAGTAACAGCAGTTTTGCTCCTGAATGATTTATCTAAAACACCCTCCCTGATTTGGTTTGTGTTTTCTTAAATATTTATTCAAACTGTATAGTTATTCCTGAGATTAGGACCTATTAACACCATCAGGATTTGGTTCAACTATGCATATGTTTAAAGTCTGCCACTTAGCAAGACATGCAGTAAAAAAGATTTTTTAAAAAATACATTTTTACATTTCTGTGTTAGAAATGCCTGCACCAAAAATGGAAGTTCAAACCAATTTTGGAATCTGAATTGAAAATTGACGTGCTATTACAGACTAAGAAAGTACATGTAATCTTGTGTTCCCAGCACGGGGGTTTGCTCTCAAACACTAATTTTTTTCTGGCAAACTACTCTTACAAAAACAAATTCTGCACTTCTTTTCCTGGGGTAATTCCTCTAGTCTCCTTGGTTTGCCATACGATATAAAATGCTCCCTAACATTTGATATATAGTTTCAGGTACTGGTCCAATTTTTAAATATTTTTTTCTTAAAATTATTGCAAAGTTCCTTTTTAAAGTAAGTACAAAAATCCTACTGTCACATGTGAATCCCATATAATTTTCAATGAGAGCAAACCATGGCTGTCAACAAGCACTACAGAAATAAAGGAGAAAACGGAATTAAGAATACCTTTCAGCATAAAAAACCCGGGGAGTTTTTCTGTCATAAGCGCTTTCACATCTAAATCTAGGGTCCATTTCTTCACTTATCTCAGGATCATAGTCCATTCTGTAGTATCTTCTACCAAAATCACGATCCTCATCAAGTCTGTGATGCTTCCTAATAGGAATTACAGATTGGCTAGCAAATCCACGATGTCTTCGACTGGGAACATCCAAATCTTCATCAAGTCTTTTATTTAATAGTCGACTTCTTAATTCAACCTCATCATCTAACCTATGATACCTGTCTTCCTCCAGCCATCTCTTATTTAGCAGCTCTTCATAACCTTCTGTAGAAGTAAAGGCATCCTTCTTGGGAGGTTCTACACCTGTATTACAGGGCTGTACTTCTGTATGTAGCTCTGGCTGGAGCCTGGTAACAGCAATAGGGTTTTTATTCCTGTCCATCTCATTCTGTTTAATGGAAAAAAAATATTAAAGAATCTGAATATAAACAAATCACATTGAAAAAAACTTGGTTCTGTATTTCTTCAAACAATCCCTAAACAGGTACTGGAGAAAATGTAGGAGGTGAGCAAGAAAATACTTCAAGGAAGGCTTAAAAGCTAGGGATTTTCTTTTTTTATTCAGGGGAAAAAAAACCCAAAGAACACACCACTCTTTCTTTTATCTAATGTTTTTCAGAAGAATGTCTATCAATCCTGGATGGGCCTTTTATGAACTCCAATTTGACCTTCAGATTCAGAGGTGCAAAGAATCAAAAAACACTGAACTTTATACCTTATCAAGAGACTAGATACCTTTATCTAGATTCAGGCAAGTTTGTAATATGTCTTACCTATGAGCACAACCTTTTAACCTGACCATTTCTTAATCTACTTCTTTGCTCTCCAGGAGAAGTCTCTATGAGAAAAGATAGTTTAATGGATGAAAAATAACCCCTATGACACACTGGAACATGTGTTCAATACACAGTTCTAGCAAACATGGCTTTGGATAAATCCTGTAGTATTTCTGCACACTGATCTTTCATCTGTAAAATAAAGATAACAGTAACTCATTCTTTACAAAATGTAACGAAAAATAAATTAAAGATGCAAGTGACACCAAACTGGGAAGAGGGATCAATATACTAGAGGGTATGACTGCCACTCAGAAGGGTCTTGACAAACTGGAGAAATATGCTGACAAAAAGCTCACGAAGATCAACAAATGCAAATGCAAAATTCTGCATCTGAGACAGAATAATGCCATGCACCAGTACAGGCTGGGCACTGACCATCTAGAAAATGGTTTTGTAGAAAATGTCCTGGGTTAGCAGTGGGCAACTAGTTGAACATGAGTCAGCAGCACACCCTTCCAGTGAGAACAAGCAACCACACCCTGGGCCGCATTAGCAAGAGTGTTGTCAGCAGGCCAAGGGAAGCGATCCTTCTCCTCTGCTCAGTATTTGTTCAGTATTCAGGTTCTGGTGTAGTGTGCATCATTTCCCCCCTTCCCCAGGTATAATGACAAACTGGAGAAAGTGCAGAGGATGGCTATGGAGATGGTTAAGGCACTTGAGCTCATAAAGGAGAAGCTGACAGCTGGGTTTGTTCAACCTGGAAGAGGGAGGTTAAGGAGGGTATGCATGGGGGCAGTAGGAACTAGTGACTGCAGTCTCCACCTAATGGGTGGTTACAGAGATACCAGAATCACGATTTTCAAAGAACCAATGGTCACAAGTTGCAGCAAAGGAAATTCCGATGGGCTATGGAAGGAAAGAAGTTCAGATCAAGCTGTTAAGCAGCAGACCAGGTTGCCCAGCAGAACTGTGGATTCTCCATGCTTTCAAAACTCAACCGGACAAGGCCTGACCAACCTGATCTAACTGCGAAGCTAACCTTGCTCTGAGCAGGAGACTGTACTACCTGACTTCCAGAGGTTCACTGCAACTGAAATTTATCCTATGATTATCTAACTGTTGGATCAAACTTTTGGGGTTACATATGTTAATCATGAGACCCATCCATTTGACTTACACTCAAAGTCAAATATCCCTCAGAGATTGAAGAACCTCAACAAATCCTCACCAGCTTTTTTTCCTGTTTGTTCTTATAAAAACCTAAACATGTAGAAAAATCTTTAGAGATTTATAGACTCAGTTACAAAAACACAAACTGCATTTTTGCCATATATTTCCTATGGATCCCTGTTGTGTAGCACTCCAGCCCTTGAAGAAGCCAATAAGAATCAGATATTGAATTCCAACATCTAAAGGATGCCTGAATACCGCCTTATAGCTGTATTCACAAATTAGTTTTCAACTATATGACACTCCAATGCACTTGGAGGAAAAGATATTTCTCATAAGACAACAATCTTTCTGGAAACAGACAAGAAACAGTCTTTTAAATAGAACTTATGAATACATGGATATTTGCACATACCAACTGTTGTAAGACAGACAGTAAACTTTCAGCTGTTGTGAGTACAAATACGAGTCCCTTCACAGAATAACCTAGCCCTCGGAATACAATACACTTAAGAATTTCCATATTAAAGAAAAGTGGAAAGCCTTCTTAAATCAAACCTGCATCAGATGAGAGTTCCAAATTATTGCACTCCATCACTAAAGGCAACTATATTTAAAAAAAGAAAATCTACCCACCTTACACAAGATCTTACAATTAACAACCAGTACAGAGGCTTTCTCAGATTAATATATTGCTTCCAGATTACTAAAAGAAGGGACTCACGACAACACTAATTAGACCTAAAAATCCCCTGTTGACTGTTGTACTGCTTTTGACTGGGACAGAGTTATATTTCTTCATAGTAGCTCGTATAGGGCTATGTTTTAAATTTGTGATGAAAACAGTGCTGATAATACAGGGATGTTTTAGTTATTGCTGAACAGTGCTCACACAGCATCAAGGCCTTTTCTGCTTCTCTCACCACCCCATCAGTGAGCAGGCTGGGGGGGGGCACAAGAAGTCGGGAGGAGATATAGTTGAGACAGCTGACCCCAACTGACCAAAGGTACATCCCATGCCATATGACATTGCTCTCAGCAACAAAAGTTCAGGGAAGAAGGAGGAAGGGAAAGACATTTGGGAGTATGGTGTTTGTCATCCCAAGCAATCGTTAGGTGTGATGGAGTCCTGCTTTCTGGGGGATGGCTGAATACCTGCCTGCCAGTGGGCAGTGAATGAATTCCTGATTTTGCTTTGCTTGCATGTGCAACTTTCGCTTTGCCTATTAAACTGTCTTTATCTCAATCCACAAGTTTTCTCAGCTTTACCTTCTGATTCTCTCCCTCATCCTACCGTGGAGGGGGAGCGAGCGAGCAGCTACGTGGTGCTTAGCTGCCTACAGCCACGCAATTCAGGCCTCAGCTTAGAATCTGAGTTCAATTATACATGTGTCTAGCTCATTTTCAGTATTAAAGACTTTTTTTTTTTGATTCACAATTGCACAGGACCATATATTTGACAGCTAGCACTTGCCTTGCTTTCTCATGAACTGGACACAGCCTGAGGAAAAAGCAGCTACAATTTAAAACAGAAGAACACCGTGTGGAGCTCAACATTTTGTGCAATGAGACAGCTCTTTTGGTCACCACTTTTACCACCAAGAACAATCCAGGGGCTTCCTTCAGACACACAGAAGAATGAAAGCATCCTTCTACCAGATAGACAGAACTGAAGTAGAAATCAAGAACTGTACTGTATGACTCATAACCAGGACTTCCTAGATTTATTACTATAACTCTGGCCTAATTGAACTAAATTTTTTGCTTATTTTGTCTTACTTTGTATGTCTTCATCAATGATAAAACAATTGACAAGATCATTTATGATGTTCTTTGTATCAGCTTCAGTAAAACTGTATTACCTCTGTGTTTTTCTTCCCTAATTTCCTTAGCCTTTCATTCCATTCTTCTTTATCCCTGAGATACTGATTGTACTCCTTGTTTCTTTCAAGCCGTAGTTTCTCCTAAAACAGGCATTGAAAAGGGCATCATAATTTTGCATTTTTAGGAGCAACTTTTAACTTCATAGAACTGCAGTATTAAATGAATACATGCGAGTCATGTGTTTGCCCTCCCCCTTCTTTGTGACGTATAAATAGTGCTTGAATTGCTGTGAAGTTTTTGTTTATTCTTGAATGTAGTACGTCCTCTTAATCCGAAATCTGTAAGTACAAGTCAGCTTCTTGGGCATGAAGTCTAGTCCCCAGTAACACTACTGTATATCAAGTTCCATCTTAAAACCAATTAGGTTTCCTCCCACTAAATTTATTCCAAAATTGTTCCAAAGCCTCACTCCTTTGACAATTAGAAATCACCTTCTAATTTCCAATCTGAATGTATTTACAGGTGACTTGTAAACATACAGTTTGGGGTTTTTTTGCGTTAAGGTTAGTTGTGACTTGCCCTACTCAATTAAAACAGGACAATAAATACACATGTAAACAAGATGCGTTTTAGGATTACAGTTTAGCATATAACTTAAACTGTCAAATTCGAATGGGTAGTTAAGCTGACTGCAAAATGAGTCAAAAGTGCAAAGAAAAGGAAAAGTTCTTCTTAGGAAAACTAAGAAAAACAAGTTCTATCCACCTTGTCCTAGCTGCTCTTGCAGGGTGACAATATTTATAACCAGCTTGCTGAGGTCTAAAAATATGCAGGAATTGTACATCAACAGCCTGACAATATAATATGAAATACAAAGTCTCCAGGTAAAGTAAACTCTGATTTGCATTATTTCCTGATATAAGTACCTTATGTTTAGAGCATGGGGCATCTCTTACACTACCTCATTCCAACCACTGTATAAATGAATAAAGATAATTATATTACAAATCATGCTCTTCTCTACTGCAGTATTTTCCAATAAAAAAAAGCAAAAGGTTTTAAAAAAATCAGAACATTATATATAAATTTACTTTTCCATGAACAAATTTCAAACAAAAATAATGTATAACTCATTCACCATGGAAATACCAGCTTAGTGATAGTTTTGCAAATGAAACCAATGCTCCCCAAACTGTTTTTTTTTTTCCCAGAATTTGTGTCTATAAGTTTTCTGACAATGACAATATAAAACCTGCAGACAGCTATGAAAGGTGCCTGAGGGGTATTTTCCAAAGCTGGGAAGCTAGCATTGTCATTAACAGGTGGCAAAACACTCAGCAGAAAATTCAATATGCTGTGTGACTGCACATTTTACCTAACAGAGGAAAACACAATGCAAATGTTAACCTCTAATCACTACCTGCCTAGAGGCTAACCGTTTAGCAGGGCACAGTGTGACATCTTCTGGCAGCTTTTAGGTTCTACAATAGCAATCAATAAATGGGCAAAAAGGATACAATGCACTTGCACAGAAAATCTCAACGAATGTTGAGCTGCTATGATACTAAACCATCAACGATCAGGCATGTTCCCAGTCCACATAAATCTTTAATTTCCACAGGATTAATCAAAGATACTTTATCTTTCACTGTTTCAGCACACATATTTGCAAGGGTTAACATAAAGTTGACAGGAACTTGAAGCTAACGTAAACTCAGCACAAACGCATGCTGCCACTGAGAAGTCCTTTCCCCTTCCTGGGAATTTCATTCTTGCTGCCTCCCTTTATTTTTAACACTAGTATAATTTGGAGATTGGGGCTTTTTCATAACAGCAATTTTCACCTATTTGAGTTCTCACCTGGCTCCTCATATGGCCAAACATTATTGCCAGAACAAGAAAGGCAGAAAGCATAAGTAAGCACAGCAAGGGCAAGACCAACACATTCCATAGCAGAAGTCTTGCACCAGATTACAGTGACAGTGTGGCCCCAAACACATAGCAACAATGCAACTCCAAGGCAACATAGATTAAAAAACCAAAAACCCCCAAGAGTGCAACAATCCAGTCCTCCTCCAGCAACAGTTTCTCCTTCTGCCTTGCATCTCCACTGGGGTTTGACCAAAGCTAACAACCCACCAGTAGTGTTTGTTGAGGCAGCAAAAATATTTGCTAAATTACAATGTTTCTGCTACTTCAACTTCTTGGATCAATTTACAAGCAAACATAAGAAAGGAACTGGGAATGTAAGACCAACAGTGTGAAGGCAGGAGGAGAGGTAACTCCTGTAGGACTGATTTAGGCTTTCACAGAATCACACTACGCATCAGAGGAATGGATGAGAAGTTAAGAAAATCCACACATGCATATTGCATCTTCATATTCTAACCTCCATGAACCTCCAATAGCAGAGAGACTGTTATGGCCAGTATCTTTCTCCAATATATGAAAGCAAGACCATAAACTGGTAAGAAACCTCAGGGAGATCAAAGGGGCTAAATGCAGAGGGAGAATGCGTACTCCTTTCACAGAACACATTGGTATCTGCACTCTCAAAGAAAGATTGGAAATTGGGAAGATTCCTATATTAACAGCAGGCAGTACGTGAAATATCAGATAAACTTTTATTTAGATTCCTGGATTTATCTGTTCAAAAAAAAAAAAAAATCACATGAGGATGAGCGTAGCAGGATGAGGTAGGTTAAGTGTACACAAAGATATCAAAACAAACTGTGTACAGCAGAAAGCACACTTTTATTAATTCTGATAGGAACTGGTAAGAATATCACTGTAGAAACAACTACAAGCAAATATGTTTAAAATTATCGCCAGGCTGCAGTAAGAAGAGTAATAAATTAAAAAAACTATATATAAGTACAAGAAAAAAGTGTTCTTTATTAGATCAATATTTATTGCTGAACAAAACCCAAGTGGAACCACCAGAGCTTTTGAACCCATCAAATGCCCTGCAGGTGTGAATTAGAAGTAGCAAACCTCAAACTAGTATCAATATAGAATTATACAACTAATTATCTACAAATTAAGAGTACAGGTAACCTAGGATTAAAAATTTAAAAACAACAACAAAATTTAAAGACTTTACATTTCAGAAAACTATTCTAATGACGCCAAAAATGTTCATTTGTAAACAGTGCAAAAAAAACCCAACCAAACAAAAAAAACTTAAGTGGAAACAATTTTTCCACAACAATTTAAACATCCAGCTTTATTTTCAAGTAATACACCACTTACTTAATTTCCTCCAGATATTTACCTTGGCAGACCTTCGCTCATCAATAGGAAGAGATAATCCCTGAGTATATGGATCTACTTCACCAGTAGTCAGATAATTTTTCTACATTAAAAAAAAAAAATCATTCAATGTATTTCTAAATACCAAACCTTACTTGCTAAATCGTTGCTAGGAATTATATTTTCTGAAATAAATCTGATCAATTTAATGACATAAAGACTGAAGACAACCTTCACATTTTGAAAACGTAGGATGTTCTTGGAACAGACAAATGAAGTGAAGTCAAGGAATGCAGAGCATAAAGGGCTTTGTCAAGCTTTAAGCTTCGGTTTGAAAGTGTTTGTCACTTCTTCCCTGTTACGCTGTTTCAAGGATTACATAAGTTAGTCTCTGTATATTAAAAAAATATATTTTTATTCCAAAATCCCCACCATTACTCAATTGTCCTGTAACCAAGTAGTATAAGCACAAGCATCTATGCAAGCGTAAGAGGATTTTTCTGAGACACTGTCTTACTTATGATGAAAAATTGCTTTTTCTAACTGCAGAAAACATGTCCGCTTCTTATTTTAACAGATGGAATCCATGCTAACACTAGCACAGTCACCACTCTGCATCTCAACACTGTTTTCTACAACTGCAGTACCTAAACTTTTCAGGATAATGACCCATTACCAAACCTTGTAATTCTTTATGGATCATCAGTGACTTTCAGAACAGAACTTTCCATTGAAAGCACTACCTTGTTGCTCCATATAGCTCCCTGGGCCACAGCTTGGGAACAGGACTGTGCAGTAATTCAAAGTACCAGCCTTTCCAACCCAACACCAATGCTGGAACAAGCCCTTAGCTTCCAGGCCTAGTGGCTTCTTCAGACATCACTCCTTTACTAAAAGTATCTCCAGGCCAGTCTCAATCAACTATGTTTTAGAAATACTGTTATCTTTAATAAAAATATCATCTATTTGTGTGACATGGGCTGATGAGGGGAATGGGTTAGAGACGATATTTCACTAGCATTGTTTCCTTCCTTTATCTATGTCATAACATAGCTTAAAGGCTTAGAGGCATGTCAACAGGTAACAGCTCTACCTGTTCCAGTACAAAACCACATCATTACGAACTATATTTCACAACTACACATTAAAAGATTTAAGGTTTTAAGGTAAAAGATTTAAGATTTTGCATTTTAACCATGCAAATATTCAAGCACTGAGAAGACTAGATCAATATGGAGAACTACGTTATTTTTATTACACAAAGTAAATAAATTGTAATCCTCATTATTAAGCAATTTTTTTCACACATTGAACACATCTGTAGAGATTACCTCTGATCTTAAAAAGGCATTTGCCAAAAATCAGAAGCTGATACGGTAATTGCATTTTCTACATAAGCGAGACTAAACAAGTCATTAACCAAAATGTTATCACTATGAGAGCTGACAGAAGTTGCACTATCTTTTTATGTGTGAAAAACAAATTAGAGCTTGTTATCCTATCTCTTCCTTACACCTTACAAACTTAATATAGTTAACATGTACTACATTACCAAAAAAAAAAACAAACCCCAAAACACCTTGTAAACCTAAATTTGTAAAACTGAAGTTCAAGTGAGAATAGAACACTAGAAGTTAATGAAAAATTGTATTATTTGGGTACTTTGGTGAGAATTACAAAACATCAAGTTTTAACACAATATTCTAACTTTGAAAATAATCTGAAGTTTAAGATTAAACAAAAAGCAACAATTATAAAAGCATCATTCCGGTCACAGCTTAAGAAGCCAGTAAATTCTGCTGTTACTGTTATTCAGGAATTCTAGTGCACGCTAATATAGTTAATTTGCATCATACGCACGTTATTCAAAGCCCCAGAAAAAAACCCAGAAGGTTGTGCTTCTACCACATTATCTCCCAGTCCTTCACTGAAGTTGCTTAATTTTAACAACCTGGATGGACAGCATTAAATTTGAAAATTATACATAGATCACAGTACAATGATATAAATAATTACAAATTACTGAATTGAACAAAGCTTGTAAAGGTGTGCATCTGGTATTATTCTTTCCTCAAAATACTTGTATTCTTGCATTCTGGCCACTAGGTGCTGAATAGCTGATTCTACTGCTTTCCTAACCACCAACTGATGAGATTTCCAGGTGATAGGGAAGAAAATCTCTGACTCTGGTTCTGGTGACATATTATAGTATTTCAGAGTTTACTATTTTGTTCCAGCTGTATAAAGAAAACAAAAAAACCTGAACTCGTAACATCGATGTAACTGATAAGCCTTGACGCAAATGTCTACTAAAAGAAAAAACTTTTGTAGTCAGCATTAGACAGCAACGATAGCAATTGCAAAGGAAAAAAAGAAATCAACATGTGTTTAAAAATCTTATTAATGGAAAATAATAAATATAAGCCATCATTTTGCACAAAGCAAACAAGGCCGTTAATCACAACTAATCACTACAGCATGCACAAACACACAAAGCACAAAAAAGTAATTTTTTTTTTTTTAATTCAAAGAGCACAAAGCTTTGAAACAAAGCAAAAAGCAACTAACTGGAAAAAAAAAAAAAAAAAAAAAGATATTGAAGGCACCCTACCTTTCTTTTTGCCTGTGAAATACCCTAAAAGTCAGGGAAAAGATACTATTCAAAAAGCGTCTTTCATTCAGAAATATTTGACTTAAAAATACTTTTCTTAAAGCCAGTCCATTCTTTCATTTTAAGAACTAAACATACGGATAATTATCATTTTCAGACAACAGAAGTTATTTGGTTCCTGTTTTCTTTCCTCGTTGACTAAGAAGGGATACAGAATATTCCCAAGATTATGACATCTCATACATACCATTTCAATTTTAAATTTACTGTGACATTTAATAAATCACAGAACATCAAAGTTGTTTTATTTCTGAAACTGAAAAGAAGCTGTCAAATGGAGTCACACTAATTATAGGAATATTCTTACCTGAATTACAGACCATAGAATGCTTAAGTATTTAAGGAAGTAACAGGTGATATTTTAAATTCTTAAGAAGAAACTAAGAAAGAAGTAGAGATAAATAAATGTATTCAGAATAAAATGTCTTAAGTAATATGTTGTCTCATGGCAATAAGATCTGTAGAAGCCTAAAATATATAACCCTTCCTAGTGGTGACATTTTGCAATTACTTTTACTTGAGTCTTTGAAATCAGTCATCACTCATAATGAATGCATTCTTATAAAGATTTTTCCACACATTTTATTAATTTTCATTCAATTAAAATAAGAGAGTCTTTCTAAAAAAAAAAAAAAAAATCACTAAACTCAGGAAACCAGACAAGAAGCTTTACCTGAGAAAGATATCGCCTATAATCTTGTCGAAGTTCCTCTTTGAGCTTATGTTTTTTTCGTTCATATTCTTCTCCAAGAGGTAAACTTAAGCCATAGTTACCTGAAAGTTTAACACCATTAAATATTATTATTCTAATATTTTGTATCAATACAAAGCATATCTTGCAAAAGTTACATCTGAATTTTTATTACATATCAGCAACAAAAAAAAAGAGCTATGCAACAAGTAACTACAAAGCCACTGAAATAAAAACCACCTTCTCTGTATGAGTAGTTGGGTGGAAAGTATTCTAGAAAGATGGACTGGTTTTTGGATGTTAGTTTTCTCTAGTCCTTGTGCTTTTTCTCCCCACTAGAAAAAAAAATGCAACATAAACTGAATTTATTTGGATAGTTTGACAAATACATACAATATTTAGGTTATTTTATACTATTTGTTGTGTCAATGTATGTTTCAAAGAACATACATTTGACACTTTGATACTTTGACATGTTAGTTTCTAAATTACCCTGATATTTTAAGCTGTGCTTATCACACAATAGAAAATATACTTTGCAACTAGAAAGCAACAAGCCGTTTGTTTAGCCCAAAGCATGTGAAAAATATGTTGGCTCCCACACAACAGAAGGAATCTGACAATATGAGAATAATAATAGTTTTTGTTTTCCATCTCAGTGTTTTTAATTGTAGTAGACCCAAAACACAGACTTAGTACTTTTCCAAGCTTACTGTCAGGTCTCATAACAGCTGCACTCTTAAAATATAATGCTATGAGTTGTTTGTTGTTCCCAAAATATATTTTAAAGTACTTTATGATAAATACCCTCTGCCCCAGAAGACCACCTCTGCAGCCACTTTCACCACTCTCCACACAGAGCTAGTGAAGCCCACAAAACCACACAACCAGAGACACAGATTACAATTGTTTGGCTTTTTTATTTCCTATTGTTTCTCTGAAAGCATTTCTACATCTCGTGGTCTATGGAAAATGAGGAGCAAGGAGTAAGAGGGAAGGGAGGGATATTCAAGACTTACTCTTACATCAATCCCAATTTATCGTACGGTACATTGTTTGACTCCAATATTTCATGTTTAGTGCATTAACCAGTGTCTGAACAGTAAAAATGACATTATATAAATGCTGAAAATTGCTAACTTGGAAATCACTCTGCTATTGAAGCAGATAAAAGGCTGAAATATATTTATTAAAAATAGACTTAGCTGGCTTAGTCTGTGATAGTTTCAGCTAAATAAGAATGTATCCTCATGAGCCAAAACAGGAGTCAGCCTGCTGTTCTGAAGAACCAAACAATGTAATACCTGACTAACTATGTCATATACTGTTTTGAAACAGCTTGCAGAGTTCAACTACTAACCAAAATCTGCACGAGAGCTTATTCGCCAACCTGCAAGTTACTTTTCTCCTAATTTTGCACATAAGGTAAGTGTAAGTTCTGTTAAAAAACAATGTACCGTTTCAACCCACAAAAAAACATGTAAGGAGGAATAGAACACAGAAGAGGAAATGGTTTGTTTCAGCTACTTGCTCTTGCCTTTTATTTTTACATGAAATTATGTTAGATTAACTAAAGGAAGCCAAGAAGAAAAAAAATCAAAAGCAACTAACACGTCAGACTGAAGATTCATTCAGTTAGCTTCAGGAAAGCCAGTAAAATTCAGTACAGAAAAAGATCAGTGAGAATTAAGTGCTTTGATTCAAATATGTGAACTACTCAAATAGAAGAGGGTTTAAAGTTAATTTTATTACAGAAGACCTTTTTTTGGCCACCAGAAAAGCACTGAGATAACAATTATGGGTAGTGATTTAGGAGATAATTGAAAACTACCTACTTACAGTTAACATACATTCATTCTAATATTGCGTACAATTTATCTGAATTCTTCCATTGGAATAATAGATATACTTTCTTTTTCATTGGTCATCGTCTTTTGTTTATTCTGTATTTGCTATATTTATTTGCCATTTCACATTCTCTTAATCACACACAATCACATTGACAACTTTTTTTTAGAAAAAGTTAAGATTTTAAATGCATTTTTACATAAGAGTTTGCCTGCATTTAGTATGTTGAGAAATAACCTTAACTTCTTCCAGCCTGATTCTCAACACTGCTGCTAGAATTATAGAACATACTGAGCAGCTACCAAGGAACAAGTCCCTGTCTAATTTAACCCAAAGGAAATTACACTGCTTTAAAGCACCCCACCAGCAAACAGGCTGGGGGTGCACAAGAAGTCAGAATGGGACACAGCTGGGACAGCCGATCCCAGCTGACCAAAGGTATATCCCATACCATACGATGTCATGCTCAGCAATAAAACTAGAGGGGAGGTTGGGGTGGGACTGCTGCTCAGCGACTGGCTGGGTATCAGTCAGTTGGTGGTACGCAATTATTTTCATTTGTATCACTTGTCTTTTTTGGGTTTTATTTCTCTCTTTGTTATTTTCCTTTACATTACTATTATAATATTTCAATTATTAAACTGTTTTTATCTCAACCCATGATTTTTCTCACTGTTACCTTTCCAATTCTGTCCCCTCATCCTGCTGAGAAGGAGGGAGCGAGCAGCTGTGCGGTGCTTAGCTGCAGCTGGGGTTAAACCCAGCAATACCCACTTGTTGCCTTTCATTTAAGATCACTGAATGCCCCTCATCTGTAATCCTTCGTTATGTCTGTTACTATATTTAGGTGTCAATAGTTAAGTCCAATTTATAATAATAAACACAACTTGACATAACATGACATAATAAAACCACCAAAAATGTGAGGTAGATGCTTATTCAAGTGCCATCCTCTAATCAAGTTTATCCATTATGACTCCTGGCAGCAAGGAATATTCAATTATCATTTATCACTTTTAGTGAAGTTTTCCTGTAAAGGTTTTAAAGGAGCTTGCCTTGCTGATGGCTGGAAGTTCTGCTTATACAACACCCTTATAAAAAACACATTTTAATTTATGTAGCTAAGCTTAGTTCAGGCCCCCAGATTCACAAGCTCAGGCTCCATTTTTTAATTTAAGACCTGCACTTTTCTGGTCACAAATTCTGTTAAAATTATAGAGGGCACATAATATTAAGTGTAGCAGGAGTACTTATAAATAAGATAGATTGGTATTATATAACATCAAATATCCATTGATGTATCTTCTTTAAAATAAAAGGACTGCTTTTACTCCCAGTGGAACCTGCAGAATTACATCAGAATTAGAATAAGCACAGTATGAAAATTAATGAGGTACAAAACCAAAGTGTCTACACATGAAAGAAAAGAGTTACCTATCGACAAGAAGTAGGACACAGAAAAGCTCTAAAGCTATCAAAACAAACCTGAGCTACACAAGTGTAACTAAGGAAAAAGAATAGTGCCTACAGAACCATTTAACTTGGTCAAGATTTCAACCAAAACTAAGTGCTTGTTCTTTCCTTGTATAATAAATGACTACATTATTACAAAAGCACTACAATCAGTTTAGTACTCTATGCTTAAACATTTAAAAGACACTTAGCATTTAAAAGAAAAATTAGTTTAACTGTGTGCATTTTAGCCAAGCTGGAATAGGACTCAAGCTTAGAGGCTGAAAGAAAAGGCATCCTTTACTTCCCTGGCACCAAATACAGGGAACATATCCTTTTGCAGTAAAGTCCAGATGAAAGATGGACCTCCAAAGCTTTTGCTCCACCCAAATACAACAGGAAAGGACAGATCCTCTATCAAGGACTGACAACCAGCTTTTGGGGGTTTTTTTTGTTTGTTTTGTTATTGAGTTTTTTAAATGGAGAAAAGGGAAGTGCTTAGCATATTTTCCTTATTGTAAAAAAAAAAAAAAGTGTAACTAAAAAAAAATTCCACACAATCCCAAGATGTTTGGAAGACTGAAGAATTGGTATGCACTCAAATTATAATGATCATCTTATAATTAAAAATTCAAAGCATTAATTCCCTTCTAAAAATTCTCAAAGGTAATTAAATGCTACTTAAATCTAGAAGACATATAAAAAAATACACTATACCTAAAGGATAATTCTGTTGACTATTTGGAGGTATATTTTCTTTAGCCATGGAGATTAACATTTTGCTGGTCTCAGAAAGCTTCTCCGATTCCTTATTCTGAAAATAAAACAATATGATTTGCTGTATCGTAAGGCAAAAGATATATCACATATAAGAATAACATTATTATCATAATTATTAGCAGTGCAGAATAGAAAGATTGAAAGTGATGCTTGATTAACACATTAAGCAAGTTATACGTTTCACTAATATTGCCAAAAAAGTAGTTCTCCTCTACAACACAGAAATTATTAGTTCAATATATTTCAATATATTAAATGTATTTCATGTCATGAAATATACTGACAATATATAAGGTAGTTTATGTCATAAACCATATGTGATAACCCACAATTGCTTCATAGTTTACACATATCCTCTTTGGTTTTTTTACAGGGGCTGATTTGACGTACTGCAACCTATTTGAAACTATGAAAGAATTACAGAGTATTACAGAGCAAGTTTAACACACCTGTTCCCTGAAACTACACTTTCACCGTACAGCTTAGGACTTTATCGAACCATAGGCCAGAAACATTCTACTTCTCTTTAAACTTGCTCTGAGCAGATTCCTGCTAGTCAGCTTCCCTAGGGAGGACGGAAGGAACAGTGATAACCATTTACAAGAGTTTTCCCACCTGTAAAATACAAAAGTTACTGTGTGTGCCTGGTGGCAGTTTTTTTAAAATCTACATAAATACAGATACAAAGTATTTAAGTTAAAAATTACTCCGGATAGATAAATCTTTACTATATGCTTTAACAACAAACACAGTTTTAACAGCACAGGAAACGCAGTAAATGCAAGCTTAAATCAAGACCCTAGCAAAAGAAGTGTTTAAATTCAGGAAAACTATTTCATACTCTTACCCTCATTTCCATGTAAGGTGGATCATTTTCAAGTTCTGCCTTATCTCGTGCCAACTTGGCCTTCTGATCTTCAATAGATTTCTCTAAATCATCCGCCAACATTTCTAAGGTTATAGAAAAGACAGAACATTGCCTCTAAATCAGAACCTCAAAAATTTAAAGCTTAATTACAGTTGTTTAAGACAGTAGTTAAGTAATATTCAAGTTTCTCCCTCAGAACTAGAGATGTTTGATGGGTGAACAAAACACCTGACTCAGGAAACCCATCCATGGAGGAGATTACTTGATGTTTCACCAGAGAGAAAATTCAAAGATTCTAGACTATAAGACTGAAGATATTTCTCTAATCTTTTTTTCTAACTTTTCAAAGTTTTGGGGGATTGTTTTTTTTAACTGCAAGTCTACCAATGGCCTTTCACTACACACTAGCACAAGCTTATTGTCAGTGAACTATGAAATGAAAATTAGACAACATAAAAAAACCAAACAAGATAAAGGAATCATTAGACAAAAAAAGTACAAAATACACATATACTCTAAAATAAGGACCAAATCATACAATCAATTCTGTGCTTAACTTACTGTCACAAGGAGTCTTAAAAATCATCAAGCTTATTCAAAACAAAAAAAAAATCACAAAGAACAACAAAGCAAAACAACAACAAAAATCACAAAACACATGCATAGTGTTTCTGGAGTTGGAGCCAACAGTGTATCATTACCTCCTGTACCAATAAAATAGCAGAGGCAATAAGAACAGCTACAGTTCTGCAATAATTGTTAGATAGTATATCAGGCAGCATTGACCTGCAATCAGACAAGCGACTAATGTGTAAGAAAACATGTACTGTGGAACAGCTGATTACCTCTCTTCCATCAGTTGTGCATCTTGCCTATTTGACTGAAAGCCCTTCAGAGCAGCAATTTTGGCACCTTACATGTGCAATTTATTTCACATTGCTGCTCCTAGATAACCTCATAATAAAAATTAAAGTGAATCAAATTCATGGCAATGGAACTGTACAGTAGTTAAGGCACACACTCAGACTTTAAATATTCTTTGTTAGGATAGTCTTATCAGAACTGAAAATACTGCAAAGCTGCATACTAAGTACCCATGGAAAGAAGAAAGACAAAAATGAAAAGAATGACTGCATACAAGCCTACTCATCCTAATCTCCACTCAGCATTTTCACCAACTCCACTGGAGAACTTTTGTAAAACCAAGCCTACAGATAAAAAATCCGTATGTTACATTCCACACTTAAAGGAAGCATGAAACTGAGAAGAACATTATGACCCTCAATTCCCTCTAATACTACCCACACAACTTAAGCAATAGGATTGCTTATGTAGGTTTCTAAGCAATCCCATCACATCTGGTATATAAACTCAGATTGCATAGCAGATTTTTTGAGGCTAATTCAGTATCTTTCTAAAGTCTACAGATTGTATGAAGTAAACAACAGGCCAATGATAAAAGTATATTGGAAAACACTTTCAGGAAGAAAATCAAAGAATTTAAAACAAAACCAAAAAAACCCACCTCAAAGACCAACAGAATAAGAGACTACATAGGTAAACATAAAATAACATGTCCAGAGAGACCGAGATAACTGCTTACTAGAAGTAAGATGAAGAGAAAAAAGTCAAAATTCCATCAAATAATTTCAAGTAATTGCAAGCTAAGTTAATTTAAGGAATACATCTGCTTGATGTATTCCTTAAAATGTATTCCTTTAAACTTTTCCTCTTACTTTAATGCCATTTTTGATTCATAATATAAAATCATAATATTGTTACAAAGGAGGCAGAACTAGGACAACCTATTTACAACTCCTAGTGGTAATACAGGACAATCTATTCCAAAAATAAATTTCCCCATCTGATTTGTCCTAAATCTTTAATCTCATTAGTTTTGCACACTGATAAAGGATAAAAGAAATCTAAAAGAGGGTAAGTTTCCAGGCACTAATAATTTTTATTTAGCCTATTAGGTTACATAACAAAAAGCCTGTTCTGAATGGGTGAAACAACTTGTCATGCTAAAGAATTTAAAAGTTGGTCTCATCACATATTCAGTGCTGCATAGCCACCAAGAGGAAAATTACCATACAGAAAAGAAGGCACTGTGAGAAGCCTTTCCAAAAGCTCATTGACTATAACATCCATATTTCTTACCTCTATTTACAATGGCATTTACAAACTCTAGAACTGTTTCCAAATCACCATATTGGAATGGTACCACACCTATTTTGAGATATGGTATAAGGAAAGGAATATTTGCAGTATAGTTTCTATCTAGGACAAGGAACACAATGAATATTCTTGTATTCTGCACTCCTATCATATTGCTCAGAAGAACAATTTAATAAATTAAAAAACAAAGATAAAACAGTTACAGCTGAACTACATATGCAATTCAATTTGTGTGAAGAAAGCTCACAACTCCAGGCCTTGAAGAACACTGAGACAACTAATGCTACAGCACTGTTGATTCAGCATCACTCTAATACAGCTAAATAGCCAGGAAAAGTGGCCAAACGCCTCTTAGAAAATAGCTAGACATTCTATGTTTTCCATACTTCTGCTTGAGTTGATCTTCTTAAAATACGCATGAGTGTAAACTTTATGAGATAAGCTAAAATAGTGTATTATACTGAAAGAGAAAGAAAAAAATCAAAAATTCTTAAATATTTTAAGCAAAAGACTGACAAATTGAATGCGATGCATACACTGCTAAGTTCAGAAAATATACCAGTATGTAAGCAAATATCTTACTGAATATTAATCAATTGTATCATCTACTGTATCAACTGAAGAGATCATGACTGATCACAATAAAAATAAACAAACAATACATTTCTCTCTGAAGAGAGTGCTACCAAAGTCCCCAGTTATGCAGTGAACTGTCTCACAGGTGGCAGCACTAAACTCACAGCGAACCATTAACTTCAAACTGGCTTCATACGACTGCACAAACATACCAAGGTAAAGCCTGCCACCATAAAACCACTTCAATTCAAAACAAAGTAATGTATTTTCAGTTTAACAATGTGTGTGAATGCATTTTGTGCATTTCTAGACCCTTGAAATTACTAGTAAAAGTAGCATATTCAAAACTAAGAGTAGAGAGTGTACTCCATGGGCACATGCACAGAGCAAAAGGGAATGTCAGAAACCGCTGTAAACATTTGTAAACCCAAGGATAAACCATATGCCCCCAAAATTATGAGGTGCAAACAACATATTTTTCATGTTTTTTAGAAAGCAGAATATTTTGTAAACAGTATTTTTTAAAGATGTTTGATTGCATCATTGATCAGCTCTTCCTTTGACTCTTGCATCTTTAAATCTTGGATCTATATGCATTCCCAAAACATTGTATTATTCAAAGTGGAATGCCATTAAACATACTTCTGCTATATACTCCACTACTGTCTGAAAATCTCCCATAAAAAATATTTTCTATATTTTTACTTTCAAGAAGATTTTATTTTTTCGTAACCTTTTTCCCTTTTTAACTGGAACTTTCACAAAAGCAACTCTGAACAATTAGAGCCAGCTAGGTAGACTTCAACAAATATACCAGGCAATAGAAAACACACAGATGTTCAAGAAAAGTCAAGTTTGAACATGAGATTTTTATTTTATCTATGCCCAAAAAGAGTTAATAATGCATGTCTCTGTATTCAAGATATTCAAAACACCTATGTGTGTATGTATTGCATTGTATGTACTATATCTAGCTATATAATGTGTATCTATCATCTAAAGCAATGTTTACTGTGTTCCTTTTTATTCTTTCCTTTCCCCTCCTATGTGTTCAGGAAAACAGGGCACAAAAATTTAAGCCAGTATGTAAAAGTTGACAGAGTTCATCTCTTCTGCGTCACCATAATATTAAAATAACATGAGGAAAACAGGCAAAACAGCAATTCCCATCCATATGAACTGCAGCAAAGGTAGCAAGGAGAGAAGTGCTTTTAAAAAGGGACTATGTTTACGCCATGTTTAGTAATTGTACCTACAGATTATATGGTCACATAATTGTGTCATTAAGAAATACTTTTCAAAGTTTCACCCAAACTTCTTCAGTTCTTACAACAGTCAGTACTAGCTGCTTCTCTACCCTTATGAACAGCATTTAGAATAAGCTGTTGCTGTCAGAGCCATGACTCCTGTACCTTACACCTTCGTTTCTTTTCAAGTTTTATCTGAAAAAGCACCAAAAAAAAAAACATTCCAGAGTCCGGACGCTCACAATTCATAAACTCTGACGAAAACAACACGACGTTTTCGCAGCTGTAGGTGCAATTACCCCGCACAGCAACCAACCAACGAGGTTCACCAGTTACTCCCCTCGCCCTAAGGGTTTATCTGCTTTTTCCGGAACACGGACTCCGGTCAAAAAAAAAAAAAAAAGCCATTAATTCCAGAAAATTTTCAGAGCCAGGAGATCAGATTTATTTCTCCAAGCGTGACCAGCTCGGGGGAGCGCCTCTCCCCGCGTCCCGGCCTGCAGCGCCCGCCCTGCCCTCCTCGGCTGCATTCCTCAGGCAGCCCCGGAAGCACCGACACCCCCTCCAACCCGCCTCCTCGGGCCAGGTGTGAGGCGCTGCCGCCCGGCCGAGGCCGCGGGAGGCTGGGGGCCGGC